GCAGTTTGCCCCATTGCATTTCAACGTTAATGTGTATCTTTTTAAAAAAATAAAAAATCAATGCAGAATTAAGACCTTTTTTGATTTGGTGGTCTGAGCAAGGGAGCTACCTTTATTATTATTATTATTATTATTATTATTTTTAAAAAAATTAAAGACAAGTAATTGCCACTTGGAGAAGCTTGAAACCAAATGACTCCTGGAAGTGATAGGGGCATGATAACACCCCATTGCTCACAGACTTCTAAAAAGAAATAACTGCAGCAAAATAAAAGCAAAATGGCTGCCCCAGGATTTGTAGTGGAGACACATCTCACCAGTTGCCAGCATTGTCTCATCACTAAACGCCATTGCATGCCGACAATCACAGACTGCAAGATATCGACTACCAAGATATTGAATATTATTTATTTTGTATTTATATATATACCACTTAATGCCAAAAAGGGAGGGGGGGAAGCTTCTAAGCAGTTCACAAAGTTTAAAAGCAAGTTATACAAACTGTTAAGATATAAATATTCATAATTAAAATACACAGTTAAGAACAGGACACTCAGGTTAAGAAATCAACATAAACTGATGCATCTTCAAAAGCTGTTAGAATGCCAATGCAGATGGGGCCTCTTATATTTCAGCAGAAAATTAATTCTTCAACATCAGTGCTACTAGTGAAAAAGCTCACCACTGCAGTCCCAACAAACTGACGGTCATCAGACTGTGACCAGGCTAACCAGGTTCCCTTTTTTTAAAAAATAAATAAATCTTAATGCCCTTGCCAGGCAGTGGAAGGAAAATCTGGGTAAATCTGTTCCAGAGTTGTTGGGGGCTTTATAAGTAAATAGCCCTGGCTTGGTGGCTAATAGGCAGCCAGTGCAGGTTCTATAGTACAGGTATGATATGTATCTGGTAAGGGCCACCACTCACTGCGTGGATTGTGGCCTTCTGCAGTAGCCACAGACTCCATACCAGCCATAAGAGAAGCCCTACACTGTGTACATTGCAATAGTCTAAACATAAGGTTACCAATGCATGAATCACAGTAGCCAACGTATCTTTGCCAACCCAAGAAAAGATAGCCAACACTGATTGGTAGGTGGTTTTTGCCCCCTGGGATTCCATGGACAACTATGGCTCCAAGAACTGTTTACCAGTTCTTTCAGATTGAGTACAGCCGGCTCCCTCGGCCAGTAAAGCAAGATGAGGGCCGCAACCCCAGAGTTGTCCGCAACTGGACCTAATGGTCAGGGGTCCCTTTACCTTTACAGCCTCATCTAGAACAGTCAAAGTCCTCAATTCTAGGAGCTGGGGGCTATTCACCTGCAGTCTCTCTAACAGAGCTCTGGTTTATTCATCCTCATCCAGCCCACCACTGCATACAGGCACTGGTTCAGCTGCTCCACTGCCTCTCCCGACTCAGATTTAATTGAACAATAGAGTTGGCCGGCACACTGATGGCACTGAGCCCAGTTCTCCTTATGACTGTTCCAAGCAGCTTCCTACAAATGTTAAATAGCCTTTTGGGATAACATAGTGCCTTGCAGCACCCCACAACTGAACTGCCAGGGTGTAGGCACTTAGTGCCCCAATGCAATTCTTTGGGACAGGCCCTGTAAGTAGAAGCAAAACCACTACAGAACAGTGCCTCCAACCACAAACTCGCAGAGAAAGTCCATGAGGATACCATGGTCAGTGTGGTATCAAAAGCCACTGAGAGATCCAACAGAAGCCACAAACATGGTTGCACTTCCTCTGTCCCTCCCCCCAGAGAAGGTAAAATATAACTGGATGCCAAAAACAGCATTCAGAGAATATTCAAAGAATATCTGAGCATCCTTCAAAACTGCATAGGAGGATTTTCCATCCAAACTGGATTCACTTCTAGAGATTCTCCACCTGCAGTCCTGCAGTATCCATATCACATGTTTCCACTGCTTGCATCCATTTAGTTCTGCCACTTTAAGGCAAAGAGCCTTTTACATTACAATTCTATGCCATCTACTCGGATTTAATCCCACGGTGTTTAATGGGGCTTGCTCCCTAGTTTTAGGATTGCATCTTTAGTGGCTGGGGATAAATCTGAGGATATCTTAATTGTTGTTTTTAATCTGCATTTGAGCAGCTTTTCATTTTTGCATTGTAAATGAGCCATAAGGATGGGGGTAGGATAGACATTTTAAAATTAAATCATGTTAATAGCAACGAGCCTAATTATCTTGTCTGAAAGGAGAACCCCAGCAATGCTTCAAAACAGATGTGAACGCTGGCTGGCTGGCTGGCTGACTGGCTGGCTGGCTCCAAAGTACTGCAGCTTTGGGTTATCAAATCAGTAGGATTTGATTCAGACATTTTTCTTTTAACCTTTCAACCTTTCTCTTAGTGAATGGAAATCTGTATGAATATTGCATAAGGTCTGAGCCTATAAGTGCTCATTTGCTTGACAAAATGCATTGGATAGATTGGCAAGAAATTCCCTGTCTTTTTCAGAGCTTCATCAATGTGAGAATACCACTACGAGTCAGGAAAATCAGTGGTGTCATTCAGGAGTAATTCCACTGAATACCATTAATAGCAGTAACAATTTTCAGGCCTAGTCTTACATTCTGATGTTTTTTTTTTAAAAAAAGTATCCTGAGAATCCTTATTAAATGTGGAAGTTGGTCCATCAATTTCAGTGGGAGATCTTAAAGCAATTCAAGAGCTTAAATGTTTGCAGAATTAAAGCTATGGGTTGGATACTGAGAACCATGAGCAGCAAGCCACAGAAAGAAGCTAGCAGAAGGGGCCTTTTCTATTCATTCATTCATTCATTCATTCATTCATTCATTCATTCATTCATTCCTCTCTTCTGCTGCTGGCCTGTAAAGTGTCTCCTGACAACTGGGGAACCTTTCTGAATGGCATGGGATGGAGTAGGAAAGAGGATTGGCCAAAATCAGGCACAGAAACCTTGGGTGGAGCTCTGCCCCATTCCATGCTGTTCAGGAAGGTCCTCCTACTGCTCTCTATAGGGGGGGAGGAAGGAAAGGGACAGTCTGTGGACTTCCTTCCTGACAGCAGTTCTCAGGATCCATCTCGGGATCCATCCAACACATTGTTCTAAAAAGCTTTACTTAAGGTCGAGACTTATTTCATTGTAGATAAATTTGATAAATATTATGTGGCTATAACTTCATTGCTGTGTAACTCATGCAAGTACTTTAAAGAAAAAAAGATTTTATGTGAAGATTTGGTTGTGTTCTTTAATTTGAAAACATGGCAAATAAAAGAAATGGATGGAAACCCAAGAAAAAACAAACGGCAAAGCATCTGTAAATATAAAACCGTAATGCACCAAGCATACATTATGCCATGCCTTATTAAACAAGCACTCATTTTTGTATTTATTGAAACAGTCATATGCTTATGGTCTTTTTATTTTCCCATTAAGATTTCCAGGTCCTTTGCATGCAGAGAAGGTAAAATGGTAGTCCTCTGACTATGGTGATGGCAGGGGGAGAGTATGGGCAGGGGAAAGCAGTGAAGAAATGGAGCAGCGGGCAAATGGGGCAGGAGTTATTGGCTCAGTTGTCTTAGAGTTTTTAAAACAATAGGATCTCAAAGTATTTAGTTCTGTTTTACAGAGCCTGGAAATCAACGTGGAAGCCAAGTTACAACCAACATTGAAAAATGTTGCTTGTTTGACTTGAGATTGAGGCTGGACCAAATAAGAAGAACCAAGTGACAGTAGTAACTCCTAACTCTGTGGCCTAAGGGTTGGTTGTAGGATTAAAGGCCCCCATTCTTGGCATAGTATTACAAACGCTGCTGTTGCTGTGCAATCCTCTGTCATGGTTCCTCATAACAGTCAATGGACACCAGAGAGGTTAAAACAATAAAGCTACTTACTGGACAGAGCTCAGAGGGTTAGGATACAGATGGGCAGCTTGAAAAGTAATGACAGTGTAGTCCAGCACTGCCAGAGAAGGAAAGGAGATGGAGATGAATAGGAAAGATAACATAGGGAAGTTCTGACAGCCAGAGGAATAGTCCATTTGCCTCCGTAAACTACCAGAACACCTGGACCTTTTACTTGCTGTCATATATACTGTTACCGCTACTACGACTGTCATCAGTTTTAACAGGCACTTGGTTTAGATGCCAGGTTGCTATCACAACCATAACTGTTCTTCATAACATGTTCTCCTGGAAACACAGTGGTTTATGAGCTCCATTTTCAGGCCAATGGCCTATTTTGCTTCCTCCAAGCAACCAGTCTCCTCACCAAATGGCTACTACCACTTAAGGGGAAGACAGGATTCCCACCCCTACCCCCCATTGTTCCTCCTTCCATGCCACAAACACAATTCTTCAAACTAAACAAGAAGGTCCTTTATCAAGGAAACTCCACAACTGGAAACACACTGAACAAAAAATATGGACAGGCATAATTTAGGCCCATGTAAGATGTGAAGAAGGGACGCAGGTGGCGCTGTGGGTTAAACCACAGAGCCTAGGATTTGCCGATCAGAAGGTCGGCGGTTCGAATCCCCGCGATGGGGTGAGCTCCCGTTGCTTAGTCCCAGCTCCTGCCAACCTAGCAGTTCGAAAGCACGTCAAAGGGCAAGTAGATAAATAGGGACTGCTCCGGCGGGAAGGTAAACGGTGTTTCCATGTGCTGCTCTCATTCGTCAGAAGCGGCTTAGTCATGTTGGCCACATGACCCGGAAGCTGTCTGCGGACCAACGCCGGCTCCCTCGGCCAATAAAGCGAGATGAGCGCCGCAACCCCAGAGTCGGCCGCGACTGGACCTAATGGTCAGGGGTCCCTTTACCTTTTCCTAAAATGTGAAGAAGCTTTATGTGTGTGTTGAGGTTGGTGGTGTATGGTGTGTGAGAGGGGCATATCCAGAGAAACATTTAGTCATGTGAGCCCTCAACTCCAGTGTGTTGTCCACGTTTATCACCTCTGGAAAGACTAAGCATAGTCTAACACTGGAAAATTTTCTTTCTTTCTTTCTTTTTGCAAATGGGTCAAGTACTACGGGGCACAGCCGAGTGTGTGCAATGAAGTTACTTTGCATTTAATTTTCATCTGCTTACCCTGCTGCCTCTCAGCACTTTTATCCCACAGCACCAGGTGTCTCCCGAAAAATGTGCGTCGGCATCAAGCATACCCACAAATAGTAAACAGGGCCTCTGAAATTCAAAGCGCGTTCTCTCCACCCCCTGCTTATCTGAGGATGGAGTCCCAGATGTTGTTTATGCTCATTTTTCAGGATTCATGTTAATTAGCAAGAAGATAGTTATATGCATTTCCTTGCCAGTTGGTCGGAGCAGAATGATCACTGACTAATTAGCATTTAGCATGCCGCAACCATGGTTTATTCAGTGTTTAGTTACATTCTCAATACCTTCACTCCCAAGGCAGTTGTGCTGCCTTCCTCCTAGGTGAGGGGAAGGTGAGTGGAGTGGTTTTTAACAAACCTGCAGAGACCAGGTAAGCATACTTCCTACGTCAGTTGAGAAAGAGTTTGGGTTCTGCATTATTGGTCAGGTATCCGGAACAGTAACTTGCTTCCCATAGGGTAGCAATGGAGGGATAGAACGAGCTGATTTGTGATAGGTATAAGCCCTTTTCCAGGTATTATTGCCCTAAAAGAAGAGCGTAATTGCCACCAGGTTTGCACAAATTCTCCAACCTCTTGAGCCTTGTGGTGAGCCTTGTGTATCAGTGGAAGCTCCATGTGCTGTTTACTGAGAACCCAGACTTCTCAAACTGCACACAGAGCCTCCACAGATGTGCAATATTCCATAGTAACATTTCCCCAATGTTGTAACCTTACCATTGACAAGTAATGGCATAAAAATATATCCTCCTAAGATGCATTGAGCTCCTGTCCTATGGACCTGCCACTTGGCTACTTGTAACCTGTGCATTGCCAGCTTCACTGTTCTTAAACAGTTAACATTAGGAAGCTGAATGGAAATAATGGGCGAAAAAAATACATAGCAGAAAACGAGCAAAACCACTTTCCATAACATATTTTTTACAAAGCAGCACATACTGAGATAAGGTACAGTGAGCAATTGAAATTGCATTCTCCTGCATGGAAATGGGCCACAAATACTTCAGCTTTGAGTAGTGCTTAGCTAGCATTTTCATTTGCATCCAACTCCTCATATTATCTTCCGTTACATTTTTGTATTAAATGAAAAGAAACCAAATAAAGCACTTGTGATAATAAAAACTATTGAGAAGAAAGACGTTTTCAGCATGTAGTCCATGGACATCTTTTTTCAGGAAAGAGCAACTTTCCAACAAATGCTTTCGCTTCAAGAGCATCTCTGTATTTTATGGCCAGGGAGCACATCAGGATATGGAGGGCAGCCAGCAAAGTGCCCCTCTTAAATTGCTGGACAGTCCAGACCTGATGGTGGCAGCTCTGCAGTCTACACTAGGCAGCCCAGACCCACATTGCCCCTGACACAGCATCACTGCAGGACATTGCGGGTAATTCTAGCAGTGGACAGCTTCCAGATCTAGCCTCCCAATGTAAGGAGCCCGGGTTCAGTGTCAGTACTGGGGCCTTACCAGCTGCCCATGGATTCTGGATACTCATACCATTTATGGAACCCTTCTATAATGAGCTGGGGGAATGGGAGAATTAAGAGGAGCTGAAAAACTGGATGAGGAAAAAAAGGAGAGACAGGTCCTCCTGCTTCTCTCTCACAAGACCGCAACACCTGCCAATGGAAAATGAAAGGAGTCTTCTAATTCCTTTCATTATCCCCTGCATTGTGATTACACACTTTAAGAGTAGGGAATGGCAACCCCTCTAATTTCTGCTTAAGACATCTTTGGTCTATGGGGCATCTGGAAAATATAACATGTGAAGTGACATTTGAAAAGGGGATCTGTGGTTCTGGGAAGCTTCTCCTTCTCCAGCTTCAAAGAAGCCTGAATGATGTTGAATTTAAATATCATTATCTTAACTTATGCACTTCCTAAATGGTCTAAGGCAGGGGTTGAAGGCGCCACTGTGTCTGCCAGTACCTCTGACAGCATCTACTAAATATCTCATTCAATATTCCTTGAAAAATCCACAATGTATGAGAAACTTTCCCCGCTCATTTCCTCATGCCACATCCCTACCACCGCCATTTTGTGTTATGTCACAACCTCAGCCATTTTGTAATTGGCACCCACAACTCTTTCTCAAAATTCCCCAAAAGGTGGACAACGCCTGGACGAGGTGTTACTAAGCTTCTCTGAACACTGCTGAACCTTCCCATGGAAGCATGGGAACGATTGTGGAATATGGATATGAAATTTACAGCATGTTATGGTCTAAGAGAAAATTATATGAAAATGATATATTGATAGTGTCTAACACGGAGTCAATTGGCAAAAATGTATAAATCTAAATCAAATAAGTGTTGGAAATGTATAGAGAAAGAAGGTTCTTTTTACCATATGTGGTGGTCTTGTAGTAAGGGTAAAGCTTACTGGGAAATGATATATGGTGAATTGAAAAGGATGTTTAAAATAACCTTTGTTAAAAAAACACATAGAAGCTTTTCCTTTGGGAATTATAGGGACAGAACTACCTAAACTGTATAGAAACTTATTTATGTATGCTACTACAGCGGCAAGAATGTTATTCGCCCCCAAATGGAAAGAAGCAGAAGTCCCAGCAAAAGAAGAATGGATACAAAAACATATGGAATAAGCAGAAATGGTGAAACTTACCAGAAGAACAAGATGAATAAATAAGCAAATTAAGTTAATTTGGATATGCAGAAGATATTAAAAATAAATTTAAGGAACTGCAGGAACAGGGGGAAGGAAGCCAAGTTTTGAAATTTTACAATGATTGTAAAATTAGTGAAATGTATAAACCTGAAAAGCATAATCTTCTTTTTTTTAAAAAAAGGACACTGCCGAACCTTTCTACCCTGGATTATTCAAAATGCAGCACACAGGTATCTATTGCTTCCACAAACACCTCATATGATGAGAATGAGAAAAGGAGCAGGAGCCTTGCATGCCAATTATTTACCTTGGAATCAAGCTCCTACAAAGCAGATTCAAGTACAAGCTATGCTTGGATTACAGGTGCTGTCTAATACATCCCCCCCCCCATCCTGAGGTAAACACTGGCCTTGTCTTTAAAACCCTTCACAGCCCAAGATAGGGTATAAAAGGATTGTCTGACTCCATATGTGCCTGCCTAGAAACTAAGATCCGCATAAGAGGGCATTCTCTGGGTTCCTGTGCCACCTGAGGTGTGGTGGGTGGTTGCCAGCAACAGGGCCTTTTTCTTGGTGGCGCCCCAGATTTAAATTGTTCTCAGGGCACAATCTAAACATTCATCATCTGCAGGTGGGTCTTTACAGAGTGGTGAGGAGACTCCAGTATCCTCAGCCTTGCCATGCACAACTACTGGAGTGCAAGATAGGGCCTGGATTGGGTCTGATGCTGTGCCAAGATGGCAGCGAGACATTGGATCCTGGACTGACTCAGCCCCATCCCTTCACCACCTCCAGAACACTCCATTTCAAAGCCATCCATTGGCTGGTGTTTGTAAGCATCCCAGTAACAGAGGACTCCTACCTGCATGTTCATTGAACAGCTTTTGCTCTATGTTGAAGATGCATCTCTGTACCCTGGCCTTTGACAGGTAAGGCATTTTGCTTTGGGCATCACTTGTGTGGAGGAAGACGTATGCCCACCACAAGGGGGAGTTGAATCGCTCTGTTATCCACAATAAGTCAAAAACACGACACTAAAATCAGATAACAGAAGATAAAAATGGCAGAAATGAGATTAAAAGCCAGAGCACCAGAACAGAACAGAACAAATCAGCCCAGTGGGGTGGCAGACAAGGATCAATGAGGGGACTAGACAAGCCTCCCCCAGCAAGCGCTTCTAAGGACTGAGTTACTGCCACTGAAATATCATTGCCAGGAACATAATTAGGGGTAGCAGTGTCTGAGATGAAGGATAGGTTCTCATCTGTTTCCTATATTGTGGCCTTGTCACTTTGCTCCATAGAGTTTATGGACAACACTGAACACTTTCATGCCCCTGGTATGCCCATTTATTTGTTTATTATTGCATTTATTAACCCTTCTTCTCCCCAAGGACCTCAAAGTAGCATACAAAGTTCTCTACACACTGTTTTTAAATTTCTGTGGCTTACTTTTGCTTTTTGATTGTGCTCTGTTACGTGTTTTGTTGTTATTTTTTGATTTTGATTTTTATCAATTTGTATTGTTTGATTGTGGTTTGTTTTTCTTTTGTTTTTTCTCTTTCTTTTCCTTTTTTTTGTTTTTCCTGTAATTTTAATTTTTTTTAATAAATATCATTTTTTTAAAAAAACAACAACAAAGTTCTCTACACACTTCCAGCTTTATCCTCCCAGACCTTCCAAGTATCCCTATTTTAGAGAAGCCGTCCTGGTTTCTGATTTGATTCCAGAATGTCCCACTTTTTCTTAGGATGTCTGTATTTTCATTGGAGAAATGTTGGAGGGTATGGAGTGATCTGATCCCTGAGATGTTTGAAGACAATCCTGTATATAGGGAGGGTTTTTTTTTTTAATGTTTAATGTTTTATTATGTTTTTATATATATTGGAAGCTGCCCAGAGTGGCTGGGGCAACTCAGTAAGATGTGTAGGTTATAAATAGTAAAATTATCATTATGGAATAATGGGATGTCCCTATTTTCATCGGATAAATATTGGAGGATGTGTCATTACCACCACTCCATGAGGTAGGCTGGGCTGAGAGAGAGGAACTGGCTCAAACTCATTCAGTGACCTTCACAGACGAGTGGGGATTTGAATTCTGGTCTCCCTGGACCTTGCATGAAACGATATTTTAGCCCTGTTTATGTATCTCCCTATGCTATCCTGGATTCCATTGCTTATTGTGAAACTGTGGTGTGATGGAAACCTGGGAATAGGCTTTAAAATACATTCAGTACAGAGCATTAATCTATTTGGAGATATGTTTACCACCCTCCAATTACTGAGGCACAGTAAATGGGGAAAATAACTGAAAGAAATTCCTTCTGAGCAAATGGCTCAATAAGCTGTAGTATGCCACCCAAATTATCAGAATCACCATATTCATACAAATGAGGCAGAATATAATGAGGGCTAATGCATTTTCTTTACTATTGAACCCCTTTATCACATTCAGGTTGGAGAAACGTAATTAAAATCATTTTATTTATGTTTATCGTGATCCATGAATATTCTGTTCTAATCTTCTTAATGTTGTTCTCCTTTTTTTGTAATTTTACTTTTTTTAAAAAAAAAATATTGTGCCTGTATATGAAAATGGGGAACGGGAAAAGAACATTGCATTTCTTTGCCTAATGAATGCAAATCTGCCGCCGCTGAAGTCCTATGCAAAGTTTATGAAGTAGAATATTTTACAGCCAAATAAAAGGCATTAGCAAAGTCAAGAGCTTCCAATTACTTCTTTACCTGACACACAAAGGCATCAAGTTTTGGGGGGGGATGTTCCTGGTGCAGTGAGACTGAGGTGGGTGGAAAGCATCAAGAAAAAATGGAGGGAATGGTGGAGGAGATCAAACACAAAATCTCTGTGGACAAAAGCCATTGGAAGCTGAATTAATTTTGTTTCTTTTATGAAGCAAATGCATTTAGGAGGCAGCTTCAAAGCTAAATAATTAGGGTGAAATGTAATCATAAGAGAGACCTGCTTCTGCAAGGTCTGATACATTTGGAGATTATACATGAAAGGCAGGGAGATGGAACTTGTGACATACTCCATTTGGTTTCGGAGGGAAGTCGTCCTTGAGGACCTAAGATGAAGTAAAGACAGGGTGAAGAGAGATCGCAAAGTTTTGGGAGAACTGATCTACTCAGGAGCAGCCCAAGACGACTTCTTTCTTGGCCTGAGGTGAAAGACAAGATGGAGCCATCATCCCCAGTTCCATGCACAGAATGTAACTGGATTGGCAGAGAGATCTTGACAAGTGGGACAACATCTTCCATCACAACTGAGGAAAGCAGCTTAGCTTCATCCAAGGACCACTTCACATCTCCTCATCAAAATCATGTATTCTGTGTAGGGACTTGTGAGAAACCTGAGCATAGACTATAACATGAAGTGCTCATGCACTGGGTGTATACAGGGTGGAAGGTTGAGGCCAGTTGTGTGTTTGCCACAACCATAAGTAATAGTGGGAGATCTCTCAGCTGGTTCTCCTGCTGGTTTTTAGTTTAATAACAGCTATTTGATTGGAACTGGGGTGGTGAGTTTCGCCCAGGGCCAGCCTGAGACAAAGGACAAGATGGCACACACACACACAGAGACACGCACATTGATCCACATACAGAAGTCAGCTGGCCTGGCAGTTACCCCTTCAGCACTGATGTTGGGATATCATTCCTCACTGTCAAGGATAGTTTGGCCCTTTGTGCATGCAGAAGCATCACATGCTACATTCTGCATACTTAACCCACTCTGCTAAAAGTTGCACATGAATCACACTGTCAGAACCATAGGCTGAGACTTGCTCAGGGATTATTGGAGGGCTAAAATCTAAGTCACATTGTCCTGTGGCTGTGGCAAGTTAGTACATGGCCATGTGGTGAAATGCTGAAAAACGGGCAAGTGGTGATGCTGTGAAGCAAGGAATGACGTGACCACTTCATTGTTCACACAAACTCAGGAGTAAACCCACATGGAGGGCAAAAGGGCCGTGGCAAATAGCCTCGATAATATTCGTCATGCTATCCTCCCTCTAGCAGGGCTTAATTGCTTCCTAGATGTATCCCAGTTCAATTTGCCTTAGAGCCGATCTACCCTTCTAGGATTGTGCTGCTTCAGAATGAAGTGCAAGGGCTGAATGTTTAAATAGTCACTCGTGGAAAAGAAATCCCCGCTATCAGAAAATAAGATGTTGGGAAGGTGGTAATCCTAGCACGCTTTCCTCACATATGCTAGATTTTCACACGCGAAAGATTCAGGAGGTTATTCAATCACGCGATCCGTCATTTTATCTGTAAGCTGCCTTGAGTCCCTGTCAGGGAAAAAGGCTGGCATAAATAAATGTGTAGCAAT